GGCGCAAATGATCCTGCGCCTATAAGTCTGCAGGTTAAAATTTCACGTGGTCGCATTTGTGAGACTGAAAATGTATTATTGACGACATTGCAACACGTTTTAAAAATTTTTTTTTTTTTTTTAACCCTTCAATCATAACAAACGTCTGACTTCCACGTCGCTTTGTAATTGATGCGTCGCGGCGTTAGTGGTTTTTGGCTACAGTAATCTCTCAGCCACAAAAGTTTAAAAGTCTTCAAAGATCCAAGGCTTTCACATACATTTAACTTTTTGAAAGTTATGTCACTATAAAATTTAAAGCATGAATAAATTCTGACAGCTCCAAACAGAAGTTTACCTGTTGGTCAGCGGCTGCGGCGCTGTCTGAGGTCCTCGTCCCTGAGCGGCTGCAGGTTTGGTCAAACCGAGCATCTCCTGCAACAAACACCAACTGGTTAGAGCTGTCAGCTACCTGCAGGACCCAAACCCTCACCTGGATGTTTACACAGGAGGGTCTCAGGTATCAGCAGTGAACCTTAACTGGATGTACCTGCAGCTGCTTGGCGTTCAGGTCCTTGGTCCCCCTGAAGACGTAGCTCTTGGAGATGCCCTCACAGCCCAACTCGTGCACCTGCACCATGCGTCCGAAGGTGATGAGTCCCACCAGCGCTGTGGGCGGCAGCAGGGACAGCGACATCTGCAGCGACTCCTTCAGGGCCTGCAGGTCCTCGTCCTCCATGCAGGTGTCCACCACGTATAGGAACACCAGCGGCATCTGAGGGCCCCGCTGAGGACAGAGACCAGACTGGATCACACAGCTGATGGGGGGGGGGCGTTACCTGTCTCACTGCTGCACTTGTACGCCGCTCTCACCTGGACGACGTACTCGATGGTGGAAAACTGAGGCAGCAGCTCGGCCGGTTGGTTCACCTCAGAGATCCCAGCGTAGGACGGAGGAAACTGAGACAGAAGACAAAGAGTCAGCATTGTCCACCTGACCCACCTGTCAGACAGGTGAACCACTCACTGAACTCACCTGGTTCCTCTGGTAGCAGAAGTTACACGCCCACAGCTTGGCCCTGTAGTCCACCTGGCTGAAAGATGGACAGACAGGTGAGAGTCAGACAGGTGTATGTATGGCAGATAGGTGTCAGTATGTCAGAGAGGTCTATGCGGTGATGCGTACCACAGCGGGTTGAGAACCGCCCTGCAGGTGGCCCGGCTGCAGAGAACCGGTTCGTACTGGATGGGTGGCAGATCAGTTCTCTCCCTCAGCGGGGAGAACAGCGTCGCCACCGGGACCACCATCCGGGTCGCCTCCAGCCGGCTGGACGGCCAGACGTTCCAGCTGAACCGGACGCCGTCGCGCTCCTCGTTCTGAGCGATGTACTCTGGGAAGGTCGCCATGGCAACACAGGGAGGCGGGGGGGGGGTCACACAGTCGGGTAAAAGCTGGAGGAGGAGGAGCAGAGTACTGCAGTATAAATACTACCGCGATACTCAGTGCACTGTGGTGTACTACTATCAACTGTAACACTACTGACTGTACTGTCTACAAACTAGCAGTACCGCCTGTACTGGAGTACTGACTATATACTGCAGTACTACTGTCTGTACTTCAGTATTGATATTACACTGTAGTACTATACTGTAAGCCTACTGACTGTAATGAAGTGTTGACTATCCTGTAATACCGACTATACACTTTACTAATGACTACATACTGTAGTACTGATGGCAGTACTGTGTTGTTACTTTCGTCTGTTTGTCTTTAACTTGCATCTTAAACAAACCTTGTGTGAATTTTTCTTCCTAAATAAACTGAAATTCCTCCAAAACACGAACCAAACTGCTGACTTTTAACTTAACGCGATTAAAAACGAATTCGGTGAAATAACGGTTTATTGTTCTTCAGCAGAACTTCGGAGAACATCTACAGGATCCATAAATCAGCAGCTGGATCTTTAACAAGTGAAAACAGACCGTTAGTAAAATACTACAAAACTTGAACAGAGTTTGGTTGGCGGCCTGGTTCCCTGAGAGGTTCTGCTGGGTTCCTCCGGACTCAATGATGTCTGAGTGGTTCTGAAATCCTTCTTGCGGCTCTGAGTTCATCCTCCAAACGTTAATCAACCCGTTTATCCTGAATATCTGAACTTATAAACACATCAGCTCCGCCACAGTGTCAACTTTCACCCACTGAAAACACAGCCGGTTCCACCCATCGAACTCTGTGCAAATTTCTTGGTATTTAAAGTCCGATCGATTTGACTCTACAGAGTGAAAAATCAAGACTCACGTCATCGTCTACCTGTGTGACACCATCAGGTACGGCGGCACTGTGGTCAGCACACCCGAAGCTGAAGGTTTAGACTCAAACCCAAAATGAATTAAAGCGTTTAACCGTCAAACTTCAGCCCGGTGGGCTCAGGTAGCCTCCGAGCTAACAGCAGCTAACTAAGCAGTCACAGGGACGTCACACAGGTACAGCTACAGGACGCGCACACAGGTGACCTGACGGAATCCAGGTGACACCGGGGGTCCCTCAGGTTCAGGTGTGTCGGTGTTTAAAGGTAAATCAGGGACTCACCGCTGCTCGCGAGCCGCCGCTCCTCTCTGCTGACAACGAAGCAAAACAATATGGCGGCGGGCCGGCGCCACGTCAAGACACAGAGGGGACAAACAGGAGGAGGGCTCACTCTGAGGAGAAAACAGGAGCCGCATTCCTGACCGGCACACACACACACAGAGGACACACACACAGAGGACACACACGAAGAAGTCTCACTCTGAAAGAAAATCAGTAACCACATTTTATTTTTTCTGTTGACGGAAGAAACTGTGAAGTCTGAACAAAAACTTTTTAAAAATAAAATAAATGTAATACAACAACAGCAGCTGTTATCAGGTAATAAACCCCACTTTAAGTAGAATAAGGGCTTTGTAGAACCCAGCTAAGGTCAAAAGGTAACATATAAATGTGGACCAAGCTCAGCAGAGGAAGTCCTCATGGCCCAGATGGATCTAAAGGACAGACAGGATGGGTTGTTGTTTGTGGTTTGAGATGGTGAAGGCAGCCATTTTTATGAAACTGAAACAGCCATCTCCAAACACAGCATCAGTTATCAGGTACTTATAATGCATCCCTGAGAGTTCCTCCCCAGGCAGTTTTCTCACGTTGATTCTTTAACACCTGGAAGTTGCCATTTTCATCTAAACACAATATCCTCATCAGGTACCTATAATGCATCCTTGAGGATCCTTTTCCAGGCAGTTTCTTCATAAAGTGCTGGGTCTTAAATACCCAGAAATCCCCATCTGTTCTAAACACAACACCCACCCAACGGGTGCTTGTAATGCCGTCCTGAGTCCGTCCCCAGGCAGTTTCCTCTTGCCATGTTTGGTCTCTAAATAACAGACATTCCCTGTTTCTTAGCCAAACAAAACACTATTTATCCGTTACTTACAGGGCAGTCCTGAGAATCCCTCACAAGGCAGGTTCTCCAAGGCACATAGGGTCTTTGATAAATACCTGGATCAAACCCAGTTTTTATCTCTTATCAGGGACTTATAATGAAGTCTTGAGTTCCCTTTCCTGTGGCATGTGACTCTTGGGTTGTTAATAAATAACTGAGACTCCCAACCAGTCAGTTATAACTGCTCTTATTTTGTTTCTTGTGACCACACACCCACATCATGACTCATTTTCTCAGTAGTTATAACACAGTGGTATTACACTGTTTTCCCCTCGTCACACAACGCTGCTCTACTTTGAATGAAACATTACAACTTTATTCTCTCAAAATATTTGGACTTCATTCAGAAGATCTCAGTTGTTCAGCCAGTGAAATAAACACACGGCGGGTTTAAAATGGTGCAATACAAATGTTTATTATATGACAAAAATACTGTCACTAACTAATTGTATCATCGTCACCATCATCATGTGGCATCAGCTCGTCCAATCAGGACTGACTCTGCTTCATTTACATTTTACACACAAACATCTTATACACAGTTAAATTAACGAGGCCCAAAAACAACCAGCTCATCTTCGTCCTCCTCTTCCTCGTTTAAAGGAGCAGGCCGACGTTTTCGCTCATCTCTAAAACGTCAGGCTGCTCCTTTAAATCTTCTTCTGGTGTTTTTCTAAAAGCAGAAATCTTTTATTTTTTCATTTCTCGGTGAAAAGCAGCAACGGACAGGTCGCTCTAAGGCCCGCCCCCTCCACGTGTCGGGGGGGCGGAGCTTTAAGTGTTTCTGTTAAGGCAGCTGGTCGGTCAGCGGTCACATGTTGTTGAATCCCATCATGCCTTTCATGTTGCCGGCAGCTCCCTGCTGGAACTGACGCATCATCGACTGAAGACCCGCCATGCCGCCTGGAGACACAAACACACGTTAACACACCGACTCATGAGCTACTACAGGTGTGTCCAGGTGAGGTGTTCAGCTATCAAGTCCTACCCATGTGGTGCAGGACTCTGGGGTCCATCATTTTGGCCATCTGCTGGTTCAGTTTGGCCATCTGAGACGGGTTCACGTTCTTGGACATGTCTCCTCCTGTAAACAGAACAACACACGTTATAAACATGCCATAAATGCATCACAAGCATGCTGCTCACGTGATGCAAACGCAAAACAAACACAGCAAAGACACACTACAAAACAAACCATAATGTGTCCGAAATTCACCACAAACACATCAGAAACACACCGCAAACATGGTAAAAACACATCACGCGTTACAAATGTATCATAAACATGTTACAAATGCATCACAAACACACCAAAAACATGTCAGGAACACATCACAAACAAAACACAAACATCACAAACATTATAAACACGCCAAAAACACAAAAACTGGCAAGAAATCTCAGAGACACACAGCAAACAGGTTATAAACATCCAACAAATTTGCCACCAACACATTAGAAACACAGCAAAAACATGTAACAAACACGCCACAAACATCAGAGACACCAACACTCGTCTCTCGGCGTCACAGCAGGTTTCCGTTACCTTTGAACAGTCCCTTGATGCCTCCCATTTTCTTGACCATCTGGGCAAACTTGGTGTACTGGGTGAGCAGCTCCTGGACGTCTCTGGTGGCGACCCCTGACCCGCGGGCCACCCTCTGGATCCTGTTGGGCTGCTTGCTGAACAGCTTGGCTCCGTCTTTACTGTCCAGTTCTGCAGAGGAACCAACCAGTCAAAGCAGTCCGACGCTGATGGAGAGCAAACCTCTGAACAGATCGACTGAATGGAACCTGATGAACAGACACCTGACCCGGTCCAGTTACCAAACCGGGCCCACCTGAGTGGCTCTGAATCATCTGTCAGCGTCTAACCAGGACTAAGAAATAATATGAAAGAAATCTAAACATATATTCAAAAATACATCACAGATTAGTCAGTTATATAAACAGAATAATCTAAAAGAAATTCAAAAATATTTTTAAAATATTTTAATATTCATGAATTGGGAGATTCCATCTTTAACTATGTGTTCTATTTTAAAAGCTTGTTAAATTATTCATTGTGTTAAATCTGCATCTTTAAAAAAAGTTCTTGGATAAAATGTAGTACAAGTACAAGTACCTCCAAACTGCACTAAACTACAGTAGCTGGGTAAATGTACTGAGTTACTTTCCACTTTTGGTAGCTCTGCCGATCCAATAAAAAAAAAGAAACTCCCGGCAGTTATTTCAACACATAATGAATTTTGGTTGTGTTGTTTCTTTTGAAGTCTATTTGTGTATGTGTTGCAGCGCGCGTGTGTGTGTGCGTGCGTGTGTGTTACAGTGTGTGTGTTACCCTGGTCGTTCATGCTGTCCATGATGGTCATGAGTTTCTTCAGTCTGGCCATCGATTCCTGTTCGTTTCCTTTACTCATGAAGTCTGTACCGAAGCCTGGGATCATCCCCTGAACACATCACACAGACACACAGACACAGTCAGTACAGCGACCTGCAGGTGTCGTGCTACTGCAGGCGGGCGTCAGATTTACCATAATTTGTCCGAAGGGGCCCATCTTCATGATGTTCTGGAACTGCTCGTACATGTCTCTGAGGGTGAACTGGCCTGCAGGTCAGAGGTCACAGGTCAGACGTCTTACTCACAATGCACTGCAGCTGTCCTGCGGCTCAGACGGGCGGGTTTCTCACCGTGTTTCAGTTTGTCGATCAGCTCCTCGTTGTCGTCCAGCTTCAGCTCGTTCACTCTGTCGATCAGTCCCTCGATGTCGCCCATTCCTGGCGGGAAGAGGCGGAGTTAGTTAGTTACCATGGAGACGCTGAGTTCAACATGCTGGTTGTTTGTCAACTGGTTCTCAGAAAACAGACACAGGTGATGATGGACTTTCCAGACAGACAATAAAACATTCGAGACATTTTAACCTCCAAATA